GTGTGTGTGTGAGTGTGTGTGTGTGTGTGTGTGAGTGTGTGTGTGAGTGTGTGTGTGTGAGTGTGTGTGTGTGTGTGTGTGTGTGTGTGTCATGATGCACACCTGGAGGTCAGAGAACAACCTGTGACAGACTTTTCTCTCCCTCCACCATGTGCATTCTGGGAAATGAACTCTGCTCATCAGGCTTGGCAACAAGGGTTTTTACCCACGGAGCCGTCCCAGTGGCCCCTAAACTGTTTCGTATTTCTTTAAAACAGAATTGTACTTTTACCTCACCATTGTTCTGTTCCTTAGTGTCAGGACCTTGGCCAGAACCTAGGCAAGAGACAAGGCAGAGAAATCTTCTATGCTCGCCTGTCTCCTGTGATGAGGCCTGTTGGGGTCCAAACCCAGCTCCCCTAAAATATCACGATAGGAGGCAGGAAAATCCTCACCCAAATAGACTTCTCCACCACAGTTTGAGCCGATTATGCTGAGGACTGGAGCTCTAGGAACTCTGAGAAGCCATCCTTGGTAAAAGAAATGTACATCAATAAAGAGAGCCATACTCCCGAGGTTCAGAGGCGTGATGCTCTAGACGAGCTTCCCACTTGAGAGGCGCCAGTCTGTGTAAGGAGACCCTCTTTACTCCCCACACACTCCCTCCATCAGCAGCCGGACCTCTGTTTCTTCCTGTAACTCAGGACACTACCTAAACTCTAGTTATCTGGCCCTTCGCAAGCTTTGTGTTTGGGGGGGAGGGGACTCCAGTGCCCATAGGTATCATCAGATATATCCCTTTCCCTATAATCTGTCTTATCAATATAGCAATTTCAGTCCCAGCTTTGCTGAAGAACCTACATGGGCAGAGGAAAGTCATTTTTGATGTTGTTGTTTCTCTAGTTTTGAACTAATGACCCTAAGACGGATAGAAGAAAACGAAATTTTCCCGTCTCATATCCTTAAACCCTTAAAACGAATTCTAATTGATTTCCTTCTTAGTATTTGCGGGGTGTCCAAATACTACAAAGAGGAGCCCAAAGGGGTCCTCTTTGCTGTCAACCTGACCTACCTGAGAAGAAGGAGCCCCAGTTGAGGAATTGCCTCCATCACATCGTTCCATGGCCCTGTCCGTGGGGCATTTTCTCGATTGCTAACTGATGGAGGAGGGACCAGCCCACTGTGGGCGGCACCATCCCTAAGCAGGTGAGCCTGAGCTGTATAAGACAGGTGGCTGAACAATGAGCTGGAGAGCGAAGGAGCCAGTGAGCAGCGTCTGTTTCCTGTCCTGCTTGGGCTTCAGCATTGAACTTGTTAAGTCTCTGGCTCCTTTGATGACAGACTGTAGTCAGTAAGATGATAGAAACCCCGTCTTTCTGTCATTGCTTTTGGTCAGTGTTTCCTCACAGCAGTGGAAAGCCAGCTAGAGCAATACTCAAAAAAACAAAACAAAACAAGACAAAACAAAACAAAACAAAACAAAACAAAACAAAAAACATCAAACCCTTCTCCAGTGCACAGTACCTGCAGGTGGAACCCAGAGCCTCGCCACCAGGAGCCGCGCCACCAGGAGCCACGCCTGCCACCAGGAGCCTCGCCACCGGGAGCCGCGCCACCAGGAGCCGCGCCACCAGGCGAGAACCCCAACACTGAGCTCCACCCTCAGCCCTTGGGGACATCTGAGACAGACTCAGCTCAGGCTGGCCTTGCATTTGTGATCCCCCTGCCTCTGCCTCCTGAGTGCTAGGATCGTGGGTGTGCAGAGCCGCACCCGGTCCTCACCAGGACTGCTCGTGAATTCTTAGGCAGTCTAACACTGTTGACCGACTTTATTCTCTTGTGCTTTTCAGCTTAAAAATCTTGTCTAAATCTTTTACTCCAACTACGAATCAAACTGGAGTGAGAGGCCTGATCCTCCCATATTGACCTTAGATATGACTAAGAGCCTAAGTCACATGCCCTTCATCATCTCAGTCCTTAATTCTACCCTTCTCAGAGTGAATGTCCCTTACCCACCTACCGAGCAGGACATTGACTCTAGCACGTACGGGGGTTCTCAACCTGTGGGTCGCGACCCCTCTGGGGTTGCAGATCAGATATCCTGACTATCAGACATTATATTACAATTTATAACAGTAGCAGGATTACAGATATGAAGTAGCAACAAAATAACTTTATGGTCACCACAGCATGAGGAACTGTGTTAAAGGGGCTCAGCGTGAGGTTGAGAACCAACCGCTCCTCTCTCTGGTAAGCCGAGGTCTCCACCTCAGCAGGGGTGTGGTAGACACTTGCAGCCCGGCTGTCTTTTGGCCTGGCAACAAGCTTAATTTGTGTGCCTGTTGCTGTTTGTGACATGAGGCCATGTAACCGAGACCCTGAGCCACAGGAAGACACTCTCAGCCGATTCTGCCTTCTCAGCTAGGCCTTCCTCCCTAAATGAGCAGACTCCTCCACTGATTGGTTGATGTGACATGACTTTGAAAAAAAAAAAAAAAACTATGTTCTTTGGTTCTCCCACCGTATTTTATTCCTGTCTATCTCTAGGAGGGATTACAGCTGAGAGATTACATGAATCTCAGAAAAGACTTTGAACTTTGGACTTTGAAACATTGTTGAGACTGTGATAGACTACGGGGACTTTTGAAGCTGGACTGAATAAATTTTCCATTATGATACGGTTACAAGTCTGTGGGGGCCAGGAGTGGAATGTAGTGGTCTGAAAGAAAATGGTCCCCATAGGCCCCTAGGGAGCGGCACTATTAGGAGGTGTGGCTTTGTTGGAGTGGGTGTGGCCTTGTTGGAGGAAGTGTGTCACTGGGGGCAGATGGGCTTTGAGGTCTCATATGCTCAAGCCACGCCCAGTGTCTCTCTCTTCCTGCTGCCTGCAGATCAAGATGTAGGACACTCAGCTCCTTCTCCAGCACCATGTCTGCCTGCACACCATGTCCCACCATGATGATAATGGACTGAACCTCTGAAACTTTAAAACAGTCCCAATGAAATGTTTTCCTTTATAAGAGTTTTCCCTATCCTTCCTCTTCTTCTTCCTTCCCAGAATGCCGTTACGGTGTCCGAGTGCTCTGCAGCCATGTTGTAGGCATGAGGAAAATGGCTAAGCAAGAGACGTGGAAGGTGGATAGGAAGACCCATCATATCCCCTTGGGTCATCTCCTTTGGACTTATTACCTGGTGATAAATATTCCTGCTTTGTTAAAGCTCAAACAGTCAGATTTCTGTTAAATGCCAGAACAGCAATTCTAAAGGATGTGAGATTATTTCTTCACCTGTATGGATCATACTTATTTAACTGATCCTCTAGAGTTGAAAATGCTGTAGTATTTAAGAAAGAGTGCATATACTAGGTTCCTGTTCACATAGGAGAATATTATCTGCAGGGCAAATTCCTGTCATTTTGAACCACTGGGTCAAAGAGCGGATGTATTTTCATTTTTTTAAAGATTTCTTTTTAGTTATGTGTCAGTGCATGTGTCTGTGTGTGGGTACATGCACATGAGTGCAGATGCCAGCAGAGGCCTTGGATCCTTGGAGCTGGAGTCATAGACACTTGTGAGCCCCCAGTGTGGCTGATGGGAACTCAACTCAGGTCCTCTGCAAGCACAGTATGTGATCTTAACTGCTAAGACATCTCTCCAGCCATACTTTAAAGTTGGGTCAACATCGCTCAGTTTCTCTCCATTTATACAAGTTCTTTGGAGAATTCTTAATGGGCAGAGCAAAGGCTACTCAAATGAGGGCTTCAGGGTGCATAGAATCCAAAGCTCACCTCTCAGAGTGATGTAGCGAAGAAACGTGTGTGCACTGTGGAATCCAGGGTTCAGCTCAGGGAGCGCAGCAGGTGGGAATCACAGTCCCCTAGGGGACCCTCTTCTCTCCTTTTCTGACCCAAGAGGCTGCTAACTCAATTTAACATGTCTCAGCTCTCAGGTACCAAGTGTGGTGCAGGAAAGAGTTAGACATTGTACCAGGTAGAACTACATTCTTTAAAAACGGATGCCCAAGAGGCTGGAGAGATGGCTCAGTGGTTAGGAGCAATGCTGCTCTTCCAAAGAGTCTAGGTTCTGTTCTCAGGACCTACATGGTTCCTGAGAATCTGACACCCCCTTCTGGCCACTGTGGGCACTGCACACATGTGAGGCACAGACATACAGACAGGCACACACTCATACTCATAAAATAAAAATAAATCTTGGAAAAGAGAGAAAGAGAGAGATACTCAAGTCCCAGCCCTGTTACCTGCGACTGGAACTGTATTTGGACACAGGCTCTTTGCACAAAATGTTATTCTGGATTACTGTGGGATTGGATCCCCTGACTAGCGTCTTCATAAGAAACATAAAAAGTTGATCTGAACCCGGGGGAAGCATAGGAACTTCGCTATGCTGTTAT